GAATGCCCACAGGTTCGGAAAGGCCTGGGGGCGGCTGGGCCTCGAGGCCCCGGAGTGCAGGGTGGGTGGGTTGACCTCAGGAGGGTGGCCGGGGACCCCAGTAGGGGCTGTCCTGCACCTGGGGCAAGAGGGGATGATGCCAGAGGCCCCCGACCCTCCTCCCCCCATTCGCCCCACAGCTTCCTTCGGAAACATGTCCTAGCTGCTGCCTAGGCTTGAACGCCGGACCTCAGCACTGTGACCGGAGCCCCTGACAAGCACGAGGCAGAGCTGGCCGTGCAGCCCCTCTCAGACCCCGCGTGAGGCCCCAGGGGCCAAGCCCAGCCCCATGGACAGGTGGGACGAGCATCGCCACCTCCAGCCACCTCTGGCTGTGCACTCCGGGCCGTGCCTGGGAGTGGGCGGGCGGGCAGGCAGGGGCTGCTTGAGTGGGGCCCTTCCTCCCAGGACCTGAGCCCAGGCCCACCCCCTGGTGCTGCTGGCAGCATGCAGGGCAGCCACCTGGAGCCAGAGCCGGTTTGGACAACCCCCCAGACTCCCAAGGAGTCTGCTTATTTATATTCCCTTCACCCGCACCCTCCATCGCCTGCTGAGTCACAAGTCTTCTAGGCATCCTGCCCTCCCCCAGGGCCAGAGGTCTGCCTCCTCGCCCCGTTTACGCCCTCCCCCAGCCCCTAGAGGACTGCCCACACAGGTGGGGTAAACTGCCAAGGCTCCCTTTGGTGTGTGGCCCTCCCCTGTCCTTGCCCAGAGAATGGTCATTGGCCCAGCCCAGCCAGCCACCGTGCCAAGGGCTCTCACTCATTTTTGAAACCCTTACCACACCCCCATCTACTCACGGGAACTGGGACACACGCCCAAGACCTGACCCCCAGGAGGACCCCATGCCCAGTGCCCAGCACCAGGCTCACCTGTGTCCTGGCCTTAGGTTGGGGGACGGCTCCCTCCTCCCAGGGTCATGGAGACTGCCTTCCAGGCTTAGTCATGGGTGGGCGTTCCCACTGCCCCTTTCCCAGGAGAACCCGGATCCACACAAGAACTGTTCTGACAGCTGCACCCCCCATGCCCACCCAGTGGAGACCCAGCCAGCACCTGAGCAACCACTCCGTGGGCCCAGCAGAGGGATAACTAGGGCAGTCCTGGCAGCCCCACCCTCTTGCACCCCTGCCCACTCAATCCCCTAGGGGATTCTGAAAATCTTGGAGACAGATGAGGCTGAGCCACCAGACCCCAATCCGTGCCCTGTGCCAGCCTCAGGATGGGAGGTTGGTTGTTGCAGGTCCCATGTGGAATTTGAACAACTGGCCTGGTGCCCCCCATCCCGTGCGCCTCCCCATGGGAAGCCCCTCATCCTGCCCGGCTGCCCTGAATGTCCCTGGCCACCTCATGCCATCACGACATGACCCTTTCCAGGGAGCCCTCCCTGTCTCTCTCCCCTTTTCCCTCCCTGCCTCGGACCCTCAGCCCCGCTGTGTTCTTGTCTCATCTTCCTTGTTTTGCGCTTTTTTATATTCTGACAAAAAAATCAGAAATAAACTTGGTTCTCAAGTGCCGCGAGTGTGGTGTCTGACTCTGGCCACCCAGGCATGTGGGGGACGCTCAGAGCCTTGAGTGGGGCCTGGGCCTGGGAGGAGGGGGCGCCTGGGCCAGCTGCCTCCAGCTGGGGCCACCAGGGGGCAGTGGTGTCCCATCCTGGTGGGGCGCCTATGTACCCCAGGCCCCTGCTGGCCCCAGCTGCCCCATGGGCCGCACCCAGAGGCAGGGACACAGGTGTGTTAGGTTCCTGGGGCTGTTGTAACAGATGACCACGATGGGGAGGTTTAACACAACAGAAACGAACTTTCTCACTGTTCTACAGGCCACAAGTCTGGAATCCAGCAGGGCAGCACTCCTTCCTGGGCTCAGGAAAGAACCCTTCCTCGTCTCTCCAGCTTCTGGGGGCTGCCCTGGGGGGATTCCTGGGCTCATGGACACACCACTCCATCCTGGATTCCAGGGTTACATCACCTCTGCCTAAATCTCCAAATCTCTGCCAAATCTCCCTCCTACAAGGACCCTTGTCACTGGACATAGGGCCCACCTGGATAATCCAGAATGATCTCTTCATTTCAAGACCCTTAACTTAATCACGTCTGCAAAACCTTTATTCCAAATGAGGTCCCATTCATAGGTTCCAGGGATCTGAAGTGACTATCTTTTGGGGATCCCCATTTAGCCCCCTACACAAGTGAAAGCCCTGACATAAGAAACACACGTCACAGCACATGCCCCCACACATACCCACACAGCAACCAGACACACAAATACTAACACAGAGGCATAAACCGAGCCCTGCAGTCTGGATACACACGCACAAACACACAGAGACACGATGACACCAGCATCCAGACACACAACACACTGACATACAGGGTCCCAGCATCCCATGACCTCCTAACATACAGAAAAACACCAGGCACAGTGCAACCCATACACAACACACAAAACATCACACGTTGCCCTGACATGCAGACGTGCTGTGGCCTGGACACACATCCACCAAGACCCAGACATCCCCCCACACCTTGTGTCCAGTCACTTGGACGCTAACATACGACCAGGAGGATCTTTCTCACCTAGTACGGGACACAGAGACATACCCTGACACCTTGATGGCCAAACAGGACACAGCTTGACATATGTGGTCATGCAGACACACATACCTACCAATTGGATGCACCTCAGGGCACACACACTGACACCCCCCGCTCCCGAAATCCTGCATGTCTTGACCCTGGGGTGAGCACAGTGAATGAGGGAAGGATTACAAGGGTCTCTCTGGCTCTGATTTCCAAAGGAAGGACGGACTGACCCCTCCACAGAGGGCCCCTCCCTGCCTCTGCCCCGGTGGACACTTGGGGCCTCGAGAGAAGCAGCCCCCAAAGGTCCCTGTGAGGAAAGGAAGACTCCAAATCTGCCCACACACAGTGTAGCCGAGCCTGCTCCAGCGTGGACAGAGCAGGTAGAAAGAGCCTCGGGGAAGGAGGAGTGCCTTTTACCTCTGTCTCCAAACTAGCGCTCCTTCCCTACTCCATTCATTTCCAAGTCTCGGTGAGGTGGGTGCCCTGTCACCCCCAGACCCGATCCCAGCATCCCTGCCAAGAGCCCAGTTCTGGGGCACAAAGGAGCAAGGAGGGCACTGGCTGCTGGTCTAGGACCACCGCCCTAAAGTAGACAGGCTGCTCAATCACCCCAGTAAAGCCCATGGCCTCAAACCGCCCCGGCACTGCCAGGAGCCAGGCCATTTCCTGAGGGTGGCCACAGGGCTGGTTGGAAAAGAGGCTGGATCCTGCTTTGCAGGCTCAAGGCCCCCGGGGCCAGGAGTTCAAGGTCCCAGGGGAGGGCAGCCTCTTTCGCTGCACCTTCCCGTCGCTTCCATCCGTGCGCGCTGGGCTTGGGGCAGCACCCAGCGCCCCACCGTGCCTCAGTTTACCCCAATGCCTGAAAAACACCTCCCGCCCGACGGAGGCATAACTGGCCACTTCGCCCTGACGGCCCAGCCCACGCAGGCGACGGACGGGGTACCGGGCAAGCGGATGGCCGCACGGACCCCCTCCCCCGACCCGTCTCTCCCGTCGCGGATAGCGGCAGGAATACCGCGAGAGTTCGCCCCCTCCCCCCCACAGTAAAACTGTCAAAGGTGGGAGGGGCGGGAGCGCGCATGTGCGCAGCGCGGCGCGCAGCCTGCGCCGCCCGGACCCCGCGCCCCGCGCACCGGCCCGGCCCGGCCCCGGCCTCCCCCCCGGCCCCGGCCCGCTGGGCGCCGCAGG